CCAAACAAAGTTAGGTTAAGTTAAAGAATTTTTCTACCCTGAGGTACATTAATTTTACCATTTGGTAATAAAAAGTAAATATTAATATTATTTGAATAATTTTCATTGAATAGTAGATAAATTTAAATTAAACTTTTTTTTTTCTTTACATAAATTAATTGTGGAAAGATTCAGAAGTAGTACATCTCTAATCTGTGTCCTCATTTGTAAAGGGAGTTAAAAAGGGTCTCATTAAGGAAATTGTTGAGGAAATTGGGAATGGAACTTCAATATCCTGAATGCTTAGATTTATTGGAGATATGCTCTGCGCTTCTGTGGTTTGCCGTTTCTGATTCAATTGATGCTCAACCATGGATAAGGACACCGCATGTAATATCCGTTGGCAAATTCTCTGACATGGATAACTGGATTGCACTGGCCAATGGACTTGGGACTTGGGACGGCAAAGCCTGATTCAATTGGAAAGATTAATTTTCACATACATTAATTTTGAGCAGTGCAGTAACATCCTTATTCGTTAGAGTGGAAAAGCCCTGGATACCACCCTAATCTTTCCTTCTGGAGGACAATCTGAAGTCAATCAATTGTTTATATATGTTGTGTTTTTGCAGCTAGACTGGAGACCTTTTGCTTTGGCTAATGTGTTGTTCTGAATCAATTATTCAGTTGATGTGTTCAAACCATGGTAATGATGAATACACAATCAGTGAGATAAATCCCATGGAATGAAAATTCTGTAATGGTCCCCAGGTTTGATTCATTCCTTAATTTTCTCCGGTTTTTACAGTGTTTGACAGGTTCATCTTTATGCTTAAGCTTGTTTCTGTGTGGATATATATTGTGTGGTTGAATTCAGCACAATTAAAAACTGAGCTGACTTGAATATTCATTACTTTTGGTTTCTTGACCATAATTGTGCCTGGTTGCTGGACCCAAGGTGATGGATTATAAAGTCTCTAGAGACTAGAGGACTTGACTGGGAATCATGAAATTGGTGATGCAGCTATAGATGTTGCAATGAGATTAACCAAATGATGCTTATCCTAAACATGGTCTACTCACAGATCATGATGCTTTGCCTTCACGCTTTTCCTTTTCTGCTTCTTCTGCGAAGGAACTTCAGAGAGAATATCATCGATATAAGCATATGAGTCCTATGACTGGAGAATATAGGTTTGATGGTTTTGGAATCCAAATAATCAAATTGTTGATTTTGGATGAAATACTATATTGTTGTTCTGTTTGAAAGTAGATTGCTAGAAGCAGTTTTCTCAATTTCCAAACGTTCGCAATTTGTAATGTCGTCACCAGCAATAATAATACTAGAAGAGTTGGGGTTACATGGTAATCTGGTCACCAGCAGGTGCCCTGGAGCTACCATGGAGTTTGCGCTGGCCATTGTGGAGATGTTTTTTGGAAGACAGAAAGCTTTAGAGCTGGCAAATTAAGGTAATGCTTTTTGTATGCCAGTAAGAGTTAACATGAATACTTCAAAAATAAAAATAAAAAAGAGTTGACATGAACAAGTGTACTGAATACTATTTGTACGGATTGTACTAATAAATGAGTTTCAGAACAATCTAACAATGAGATTTCTTATGCTATACATCAGAAATGGGAAAATTCAGAGCACTGCAATCTAAACCAGGCATGCATGTACACATGGGAAAATTCAGATCAGCCCTTAAAGCTGCTGCTTCCCCTGACTTGAGTTTCTTAGTTTTGAGGATCTAGTGCCGATTGTGTTGTTATCAGCATCATGGTCATCTTTTAACTTGGGTGCCATCACTAACTGAGCAATGGTTCCTCGGCAAAAGGGGCATATTGGGTGTGTTATAGATGCAATTGTAGAGTTGGGTTTGTTGTGACAACAGAGGGCCAGTGTGCATTGTGCACACATCTGATGGCCACAATCCTGAACTTGAATGGTGCAAACCTTGTCAAAGCATATGCAGCATACATCTGTATCACTGATAGCCTCATAAATAGTGTCAAATATCTTGGAACCATTAGAATGTGAGGCTGATGGAAGTGAGCCACCGAATCCCTTCAAAATAATCTTTTCCCTTTCCCTGTTAGCCTCCATCAGTGCCTGTTTTAATAGCGCCTTTGCACCTTCATCAAGCTCCCTGGAGGTTAACTTCAAAAGTGCAGGCCACACTAGAGGCTCTGGTGATGAAGGATTTAGCAAGGCTGCACATGCATTATGGTAGTGCTTTAAAGCTACTTCATATGGTGTTCTCCCAGACGCATCTCGTCGAAGTCGATCCGCACCCCATGCCAGCAACTGCCCAACGCAATCCAGAGACCCCTCTCTAGCTGCCAGATGAAGTGGAGTGTCCCCTGGCAAGCCGTATACACCAGTTGAAGCAGAAACAAGAGCACCATTGTCTAACAAGATCCGTACACATTCAGGCCACCTTCGACAGGCTGCTATGTGCAAAGGGGTCTCTCCCACATAATCTGCTTTATTCACAAACACGGAATATCCATGCTGCGAATTGACAAAAGGGCAAGTCTTTGCAGCAGACAATATCACTCTAAGGCAATCGGAGCGACCATAATAGGCAGCATAATGCAAGCAATTTCTCCCCTGAAGGGTATCACACATTGTAATATTTACCCTGAAATCAATGAGCTTTTTCAAACAGGACACCTTCCCATAAATTGCAGCAAACAGAAACGGAGTTTGCTTGTATCGATTCACCACATCTGGATTCAGATGTCGCTCCAACAGCATCGACAAAATCTCGACCTGGCCATTACCAGCAGCAATATGAAGAGCAGAGGAATGACATCCGGTTGTTTCGTACAACAGACTCGGTTCTCTCTCCAACACAGCCTTGGCAACCTTGACATTCCCGACTTGCACTGCTCCAAAGAACTCACTCGCCTGTTGCCGCCTTCTTGTTTCTGAAAACTCATTCTT